GAAACAAACATATATAGTACACTGCTATTACTTGTTAAAGTTTTTAAATAATGAAAAGATCAATGACAATCCAGAGATTGAAAGAGCACACTTTGATTTGAATAATAGAAGCATACTTCATTAGTAATGTGGTCACTTTTTCAGTCATAAAGAAAGGAAAAAAAAAATATATCATTTAAAGGATATCAGACATGGTATTGAATGTTGGAGATTCAGAGAAAATCAGAAATGAAGAAAATGTCATATATTGCTAACTGTGATAACCAGACTGTAGACTATTATTTGGAAACTAATTGGGGGGAAATGATAGGGAGAAATGATTGAGAAAAATATCTGTTACTGTTTACTTATCATGACGTATCACATAAGCATTAGCCAGAGAACATCTTTCTATTCCTATAGGTGACAGTGGAAAAGACTGAAGTGAGAATGGAGAGTGATCCAGACTTAAAAAATACAGCTTTTTGTTGTAACAAAATACAAGGCAGCTACAGAAAAGATAGGTGTGTGTGTGTGTGAGTTTGCATGTGAAGGTTTTGGTAGTTTTTTGTTTTTTTTTTACATGTTAAGCTTCTGATGATAGTAATTTATTAACTAAATTAAATATCTATTTGTTTCAAATGCTGCATTGGAAAGACAAGTGGAACTGAAAATGAATACGATCATAAGAAAGAGAGACAGGTAGAATTATGTCAAGTAAGTGGAAACCAGAGTTGAAGAAAAGATAGAATGTAAAGAACCCAGTAAAAATTAAATCAGAATAAGTGGATAGACAAAATAATTAAGTAAAATATAGATGTATTAGAAATTTGAAGAGATATGGGAATAGAAATAAAAATGACTATGTGTGATGGACACAGATGGTATAGTTGGATATAAGTATAGTTGTTGCTGTTAAGTGCTACTGAGTCAGTTCCAGCTCATAGAAACATGGATAGGGTTTCTGAGGAGTGTCTGGTGAGCTTGAACAACCAACCTTGCAGTTCAAACCTTCCTTGCAGTCCAGAGTATTAACCTCCTGCACCATATGAAGAAGGATAGTTATGGTATGGATTGTTAAGCACCCTCAAGTCCTTTACAACCCACAGTGAACCTGTAGAGAATTTCTGAGGAGCAGCTGGTGAGCTTGAACTGCCATCCTTACAGTTCAAAAGGCTTTTCAGTCTGGTGCATCAACCCACAGCAACACAACAGAACTCTATGGTATGTAAGAGGTAAAGAATGTGGTAAGAGACACTT